GGTCCATCTAGATACGACCCATCGCCATGGAGCGCAGTCGCGGCGTCCCTGACGCCGAGCTGTTTCTAAGCAAACCCTCCGAGGAAGACTGCGACAGCCCGACCGTCGAGCCTCTGAGAATATTCAAGCCTCAGAGCCCCAAGCCGTCCTCTTCCGACCGCTTCAAGTACCCCGCCCCTCCGTCCGCCTCGGGAACCCCGTCCTCCTTCACCTCCAAGCCGACCTTTCCTCTGCCTCCTGGCGCCTCGAGCTCCGCCGCGCCTCTTCCGTATCCCGACGAAGAAGACCTCCGTCCTGGAAAACCGAGCAAGCCTACCATCACTGCCCCGAAGCGTTTTGGCTCCGACTACAATGATACTACCCCGCGCTTGAATGCCACCAGCCCAGTTGAGACCAAGAGCCCGACCCTCGCAGAGCGACGCGGCGCTGGCCCGAGGCCTCTGGGAGCTACCTCTCCGACAAGTCCTGGCGAGGAGGGCAACTTCTTCGCGAAGCCCTTGAACGCTCCTCAGCCCCAGCGCCCGGTTGCTTCTACGACGAACTACCCCTCTTACACGAAGAAGCCGTACTACCCTCCCCCCGGTGGCGCATCAAGCTCAACACCTCCTGCTCAGAGCTACGCTCCAAGGCCGCCTTCTCAGCCTCAGTCTCAGAGCTCGGAGCATCTCGATATGCCTGGCCAGAGCAACGTGAACAGGTTTGCTTCCACTGCCTCCACCTCTACCACACGCGCCAGCAGAGGTTCTCCGCCCCCGCCCGAGACCCCGATCGTCGAACCGGGAGTGATCCCTGGCGGTGGCATCGAGGCTCGATATGCTGCTTCTGGTATTTCGGGCACGGCGACTTTGACCGGCCTTCAGGCGCAACAAGTCCAAAACTCTGCTGCTTCTCAGAGATTGGCGCAGTACGGCGGAGCACCACCGCCCGCGCGACCATGGACACCTACCGAGAACCCAGAGAACCAGCCTCATGGACCTCCCACCGTGTACCAGGGCATGAACCAAGTGGCGAGCCCTACTCAGCCCACTTTCAGTCCTCCTCCTCAACAAGCGGTAAACGAGGGAGATCAGCCTGCCCTGCAGGTGAGCGTCTTGGAGCAGGACTTCGCGCGCATGAATGCGAACGACCCTCCCCCGGCTTACTCGAGTGTCAACCCCGGAGGCAACTCGTCCTACCCCGCCGAGAAGCAGCGCCCGGCTCAGCAAAGAGCAGACTCGCAACCGTCTGTGGCCACGTCCGTCGCACAGTCGCCCCCGAAGAAGCCCGCAACGGCTGGTCCCGCGGCTGCAGGGCTTGCGTCGCCCGCTCTCCAAGGCCATCCGGCTTTCGCCAATGATCCCCGACCAGAACAGCAGAATGGATCTCCAGGACCGGCCCAACAGCCACAAGCACAAGCACAAGCACAACCTGCGGCCACTCCGGTTGCGCAAACTGCACAAGTTCCTGCCAACTTTCAAAACGCTGGGCCATCCTCACCCCCTCCGTTGCCCGAGGGCTGGATCGCTCATCTTGATCAAAACTCCGGCCAATACTACTACATCCATCTGGCCTCCCAGGCTACCCAGTGGGAGTTTCCAAAGGGGCCCAACCCGATCCAACATGAACAGGCGCCTCTGTCGCCTACTGCCTCGACATACGGCAATCCCCTCGCATCCCCCATGTTTGGCAAGCAGAGCATGGCGTCCCCGATGTTCCCTCCTCATACCCCTGGCTATGCTGAGAGCATCATGAGTGTCGCCGTATCGCAGACTCCTACTACCGCCGGCTTTTCTGGGCCTCCTCCCAGTGCCGGTGTTGACATGTACAAGATTCAGCCAACGAACGGTGTCTACTTTGGGCCTTATCTGCGCTACTGCAATATGGACATGGAGAAGGGGACGTGGTTGGGCAGCATCATGATCGTGACCGAAGCACCGCAGCCTCCGACGATCCATCTTCACTTGAGCGCCGACCTCTCTCCCAACCCGCGACAGTTGGTACCGCACAATATCTACACACATCAGCGCTGGTCGTTTTACAAGTACGATATTGAGTTGCCCATGAGCGAGAATGGCACCGAGAGATGGACTTATGCCGTGACGTCCCACCTGGGATGCACAAGATATGAGTTTGTCGTTGCCGGTCGTCACGAGAACGGCTGGCGCTTCATTGCACACTCCAACAACGACTTTGCTGCATCGACGTCTCAGAACGAGCGCTCTAAGCTTGGTGGTGTGGGCTTCATGTGGAAGGACGTACTGCAAAAGAACGTCGATTGCGGAGGTTTCCACGTTCAGCTCGGCTTGGGTGACCAGATCTACGGTGACAGGCTGTGGAAGGAGGTGCCGCTTCTGAAGCAGTGGCTAGCCATGAGCGGCAGGGATAACAGGAAAAACGCACAGTGGACTGCCCGTCATGAGGAGGACGTGTCGCATGCATACTTCCATTACTACACCAGTCACTTTGACCAGCCGTACCTGAGAGAGGCGTTTGCCCAGATCCCTCACATTTTGCAGGTTGACGATCACGACATGTAAGTTTGTCGGTCCTGATTGTTTCGTGCAAAACTGACCCGCGCAGCTTCGATGGCTTCGGTTCGTACCCCGAGTACATGCAGGGCTCGCAGATGTTCAAGAACGTCGGCCGCATAGCCATCGAGATGTACCTGCTTTTCCAGCACCACACGACTGTGGAGATTCTCCGCAACGTCAGCAATGATACTGACTTGTTCACAATCACCGGCCAGGGCTGGCACTTTGTGAAGTATCTCGGACCAGCTGTCGTTGTCGTTGGACCCGACTGCCGATCTGAGAGAAATCAGACCCGGGTCATGGCCGGCCCGACCTACCAGGGGCTTTTCCCCAAGGTTGCAACGCTACCTCCCAGCGTGCAGCACTGTATCTGGATGGTGTCGGTTCCTCTCGTCTACCCTCGTCTCGAGGCGGTTGAGAGCTTGGCCACCGCAGTCACTACCGGCAAGAAGGCGGTCAACATGTCATACAACTTGCTCGGGAAGGTTACCAGTTCAGTGGCCGGTGTTGTTGGTGGGAAGGAGGTCGTGGCACAGGGCTTCACGCAGGTTAAGAAGGCCGTCGGAAAGTCTGGTCTCATGGGCAATGTTCTCAACCAATTCGGAGAGATTGATCTCGCAGAGGTGTTGAAGGACATGTGGACTCACGAGTCGAAGGACCTGGAGAGGACGTACCTCATCAGGACCCTCCAGGGCATCGCACAGCAGAAGGGAATTCGCATGACATTCATGTCAGGAGGTAAGCTAAATCCCTGCCTCACTCGTCGGCCAAAGCTAACGCAACCAGACGTCAACTGTGCGGGAGCAGGCTTGGTTCATGATCCCACTCATCCCAGCGACCACAAGACGATGTACCAAATCATCACGTCGCCCATTGTCGCCCAACCCGCCAGCAACTACATCTTGAAATTGCTCCACAACAACAAGAGCCTCTACGTGCCTCAGAACGGCCACAAGTCCAATCACGAGGTGTCAGACACCAAGGAGGACATGATGGAGATCTTCCACACCGACGCCAGCGGCTCAGCGCGCGAGCTCAAGAAGCTTATGGGCCGCAGAAACTACGTCGCCGTAGTCGCTTACGATCCGGAAGCCATTCCGGGTACTCAGTACGCAGCCAACCAGGCCAACGGCCAAGGCCTGACGAAGCTGAGCTTGGCCGTGGATTTCGTGGTCCAGGGCGACGGCGCTTTCACGGCGCTTTCACGGCGCCGACGAAGTATGGCCCGGTGATTGTGCCCCATCTGGGATAGAAGGACGTGGATCTCGGGGGCTAATTTCTTGAATATTTTAATATTTTCACACCTTTCCAGGCGACTTCCAGAAACGATAAGGCATAAAGCGAGTGCTTGACGACCTGATGATATAAGCCTACATTTACTATCCATATTCCCAATTTACAAAACCTGAACTTCAAATCATCCAGTGCAGACTGCCCGGTAATTGATTTATGGTGTTTCAATGCTCATATGAACGAACTGTCACAAGCATGAGCTATGATTTTCAAAAACCAGAGACCAGCTTCTCAACAGCATCCAGATCGGACCTGTCTCAATACAGAGAGTCTGTACACACGGGGGATCCACCTCCTCGCCGCAGTACCTGACCTAGCGTCTTGCAACACCGCACGGGCGTCAGTCATCCTTCCTCCCCTGCGGTAAAGCGGCCGCCAAAAGTTGTCACCCGCTTGTCTGGCATGAGCACCTCACCTACCTAGCTTCAGGACACGATGTCTGAACCCCAAGTTCTTTTGCGCCCTTGTGAACACGTTCCTGGTCTTCGTTTCTTATTAGTCTTCCGTGTTGGGTAAATCCGAACAGAGACCATCGTCATCGCCAATCGCAAGCACTTGCACTGCCACCCCATCTTGCGTACATCAAGTTTCAAAACAATGTCCAGCTTGGGTCCAGTCAAGAATACTCATCTCGTTTCGATGCCAATCCCTCACTTATGGCCAAGCTGTCCAGAACACAATCTCAAAGACAAGGACAGATCACCCCGAGGCTAACAAATGACTGAGATCTGTCAGGTTGAGAACATGTTCACCATGCGATTGCTTACCAATGTTGCAAGCACATCATCCAATACCATGTTCAGCTTTGAAAGAGTCTCTGTGAACAAGATTTATTTAAACGTCCCTCCAAACCCAATTCACCACCCGGAAGATTTCTTGGTTCCCTGAGCTCAAAGCACCAATCACCTCTAAGTACCTACCCACCACCCAAGGAAGACCACTCCAGACCCTGAAAACGCACCCACCGCAGCACTGCACCTGCCTATGACCTTACCCCTGCCCCGCCATCTGAAAGTCGACCCCGCGCATACCCATCCACATCCCGAAAGGAAGCTCCAATCTCGACCCCTTTGCTTCTGACCGCCCTCTGCGATTGTCTCTGCTGGCATAAGTAGATCCTTCCCAGACTTCTGCGACGTCACAAACAGCAAGCCCGAGCTTCACAACACATTTCACCACCCATCACTCACCTTCACAATGGCTACCTACCCCCCTCTTGAGGAGCGTCCCCTCAAGACGACCATCTGCCTCTTCGACGTCGACGAGACCCTCACTCCTGCCCGTCGCGTAAGCTCTGCACTTCCCCCTTTCCCCCTCCAAACCCTCTAACCCAGACCTCCAAACCAGCATGCCACCCCCGAGATGCTCGACCTCCTCGCCCGCCTCCGCCAAAAGTGCGCCATTGGCTACGTGGGCGGCTCCGACTTCAACAAGCAGCAGGAGCAGCTCGGCGACGCCCAGACCCCGGTCACCACCCTCTTCGACTTCTGCTTCTCCGAGAACGGCCTGACTGCCTTCAAGCTCGGCCAGCCGCTGCCCTCCAACAGTTTCATCAAGTACATTGGCGAGGACAACTACAAGGAGCTCGTCCGCTTCGCCCTCCACCACATCGCCGACCTCGATATCCCCGTCAAGCGCGGCACCTTCATCGAGTTCCGCAACGGCATGGTCAACATCTCCCCCGTCGGCCGTAACGCCTCCAACGACGAGCGCAAGGCGTTCGAGGACTACGACAAGATCCACAACGTCCGCCGCGACTTCGTCACCAAGCTGCGCGAGAAGTTTGGCCACCTCGGCCTCACCTTCTCCATCGGCGGCATGATCTCTTTTGATGTGTTCCCCACCGGCTGGGACAAGACGTACTGCCTGCGCCACCTCGAGAGCGAGGCCAAGAAGGAGGGCGGCATCACCTACGACACGATCCACTTCTTTGGCGACAAGACGCACGAGGGCGGCAACGACTACGAGATCTACACCGACGACCGCACCATCGGACACGCCGTCAGCGGCCCCGAGGAAACCATGCGCATCGTCAAGGAGCTTTTCGACTTGTGAAGCGTGCGGGAGGACAGCAGGTTATGACGGAGATACTGGTGCTGAATATGGGGGCGGGTGGTTTCCAATTAAAAAGGAGAGATGATACCAAGACCAGATGGTTTTTCGGATGCGCAATTGCCTCGGCGGGGAGATAGACAGAGATCCCTTACGAAATGAATTTAGAGCAAAAAAAAAAAAAAAAAAAAAAACAATCAAGCGCTGAAGATACGGCAACGCCCGAAAATGCGAATACGGTGGAACTCTGCCGGCCCAAGTCGAGCCCGATTCTCGGTGGGTGACGTATGTTTCTATAGGCTCCCGACTTGCTCACTTTTTAAGGGCTAGACTGCTCAAAGTCTTAATCGCTCTGAATTGTATTTTGATAACATTAAAAACTCTAGCTCATGGATATCATAATTGCCAGTCCCCTACTCCGAGCATAACCCTTTTTTGATCCCTGTAAGCCACTCTATCGTTTATGTCGTCCATCCCGGAATCATTTCATTACATAGCAATACAGAAAATTGAGCCTTGCATCACCCCAGGAGGACACTTCAGTGCCGCTGGCTCTTCGGCAGGGGGTGGATCCACGAGACCAACAGGTTGACCCCGACGTGGATGCACCCAATGACCCAGAACCCCTTTGCGTAGTTGGTGCCGTTGTCCATGAAGCGGAAGATGATGGCGAAGATGACGCCACCAAGGTTGCCGCCGGCGCCCGTGACACCAGACACGATGCCGTTCGCGTAGCCGTGGACATGGGGGATCAGGCCAAAGTTGGCGCCGTTGCCGGCCTCGTGGAAGACGGCCATCAGGAAGACGAGCCCGAACATGGTCGCCTCGTCGTGCGGGTTCAGCATGCCGATGAGCAGCAGCAGCGCGCCTGTGAGCACGCCGCAAAGCGTGATCCACGCCTTCTTGAGCCAGAGGTTCTGGCCGCCGTAGCGGTAGAGCAGGTCCGAGACGACGCCGCCGGCCGGCCGGGTGATCACGTTGAGGAAGCCAAACATGGCGGCCCAGTTGCTGGCGCCGGTCTGGCCGAGCGCGGGGAAGTTCTTGAGGTAGTAGGAGGAGAGAACGGCGTTGACGGCCAGCTCGCCGCCGAAGGAGCAGCCGTAGGTGGCGATGTGGAAGATGGTCTGCGGGGAGAGGACGACGGACATTGCTTCTTTGAAGGTGGGGTTGACGACCGTGTCGCCGCGGGCGGTGTCGACCATCTCGTCGCGGGAGAGGCGCACCTCGTGGTCGCCGAGGACGCCGTGTTGCCCGTTCTTGTTGCTGCTGTGGTTGCTGCGCTTCTCCTCGTCGGAGACCATCGAGCCCGCCGCCGTTTCCTTGCGGTCTGCGATGCCGCCGGGGACGTCGACGACGCCGTGGGACTGCAGGTTCTCCTGGGCGTGGAGATGGCGGTCGGCCCACTTGCCGGTTGGGGTGTCCTCGCACAGGAGGAGAAGGCCCAGGCCGCAGGCGAGGAGGCAGATGACGGGGACGATGAAGGTCAGGCGCCACGCCTGGCCGGGGGAGTAGCCCCGCGCGTGGACGAAGGAGTCGTAGACGGCAGGCATGACGAAGTACGTGATGCCGCCGCCGGCGTTGCCCCAGCCGCCGGCCAAGGCGTTGGCGGTGCCGACGACGTTTTTATCGAAGAACCCGGTGCACCAGACCTGGCAGGGGACGAAGGTCGCGCCGAGGACGCCGATGAAGAAGCGGCTGATGTAGAGGCCCGTGGCGTCCTTGACCAGGGGGGCGAGGCCGATGGGGATGCTGCCGATGAGCAGGAGGGAGCCGAAGACGATACGGGAGCCGAAACGATCGCACGCGGGGCCGGCGATGAGGCGCATGAAGAGCGTTGCAACGAGAGAGACAATGTTGGAGTTGGCGACTTGGGCGGTGGTCAGGTTGAGGTCCTTCTTGATGGTGACTGTGAGGAGGGGCGGGAAGGTGTACCAGGCCCAGAACTGGACGCGGGCGTGTTAGCAGGCGGAAAACAAGCAGACGGTTGTGTGTATACTCACGGCAATCATGAAGCCGAGCCACGAGAAGTGAAAGGCGCGTGCGTATACATTGAAGATGTTGAAGACCGGGATGCTGCGGGCTTTGCGGTTGATGGGGTTCACCTCAGGTGCCCTCCAAAGGATGGAAAGTTCCATGGTGAGAGGCTCGGTCGATCCGTCCGGAGTCGACGTGGTATGACGTGGGGTCTTGGGCAAAGTCCTTCACTCTCGTATAAGCGGGCTGGTTTTGAGCTGGATCCAGGCGCTTGATGTTCCAAGGCTGCACTGTCGTGGACTGTTATCGTGTCACTGTCGTTGAGTGCTTAAGTACAGGTAAGCAGATCATATATTCGGCCGGAGATTGTCCTGTATTTATATGGTTGTCCTTATTTGTGTAGCATAGTGTTCAGCAGAGAGAAGGCGATTGAGGCATCTCCGGAGAGATACCACGCTAATCCCAATGGACGTCTGCCGCGAACACTCCCTTGCTCTGTATGAGGTGCAGGGGAGATGGGGGTGTGAGAAGGAGTATAATGGAGGTGTGTCGATGGGACGGGAGGCGGGCCAAGCCTAACGAGCCAGACTGGACCAGCGGCGTGGGAGCCTTAAGAGCGGGCTCACTCGTCGATCTCTCTGATAAGACTCTCTTGCCGGGAAGAGAGCGGAAATGTCAAATTCTTTTGTGTAGTGTAGGTAGTCTGAGGCGCTGGGGTGGTTTCTCAAGCTAAAGTGCTGGGTTTGCACAATGTTTCGATCCGCTCAGTCGTGGAAATCGAAGTCGAGGCCCAAATAGCGGCACTCTTCAATGTCAGGCTGTATTGAAGAAAGATCTTGTCTCGGAGCAAAGCTAGCTGAAGTGTTGATAAGACAAGAACGGGAAGTCAAGCTGAGGGAGCTGCCAATTTCGAGCCTGGGACGGACGAGCTCTTCCCCAGATTTTCCCCTCAACCAAATGACGCGCTGTCTCCCTGAGGTAGCAACGCTGTGGCCTATGCAGAGAACTTCGCAGCAAGTCTATGCATCAAGATAACGAAGGCTCGAATGAGAGAGCCCACGGGCCAAGCAAGAGAGTCCGGCACTAGGTTCACGCCTTGTCTTGACGGATACAGCCTTTGCCTGTCCGGGGTGGTCAGTAGAGTGCTTTTCAAGAGAAATGATTGGACGGGGCCCTCAAGGGACTGTGAGCAATTGAGCCAAACGGAATCTTACGAGCTTATTGCTTATCTCTGGAGGCTCTCGAGAGGCGCTCAAGATGCAGTCGGGACGGGTGAGCCAGGCCCCACCCCTGGCATCCAAGAGATAAGAAAGTGACTCTGATAGCTGACTGGCGAGTGCTTAAACCTTTGGTGTCGATCTCCGCGGACCTTTCGTCATGGCATGTGTCTAGGGACAGATGGGAGTTGGGCCGAATGATGCTTCCATGATTACGATGACTGTCTGTAGGTAGGCGAAGTTGAAGTGAGTGAGAACGAGAGGAACTTGCCTAGTGGGGTTCTTGGCGACGATGATAAACTTTCAAGCACTGGCTTAGCCTCCCTACAATCTAGACCAATAGTTGGCCGGACGGTGACAAAGACGCTGCTGCTTTAACGATTGGCAGCTTGACCTAAAATACGTCAGGCTTGGCAACAGATGCTTCTGTCCTATCTTCTCATGAATATATCATACGCCTGATGTAGTACGAAAAGGAACCTCTCGTCATGCTCTATTGTCGCAGAAGATTGGCAAAGATTTCATGCTGATCCTGCATCAACTGCCGTGTACCGTCTCTCGATCCGACTTTGGTGTAAATGAACGGCCTGCGATTGGGCAATGCTGCGGTCCCGTTCAGCTTCCCCCTTTCTGGATGCTGTCATTCCCCAGAGAGGACCCCGAGCTAGACTCGCAATGGGGGGATTCGTAGACGAAAATTGGGGTGACCGAGTCTTTGGACTGCAATTAGGTAGTCGGTCGAGATAAGATACAGATAGCGGAGCCAAGGAGACCCCTGGCCGCAGAGAACACCCACTGTTCGCAAGAAAGTCTGCTCGCGGCTTATGTCATCACCCTGCCCCCACGCTAATGACCCGCTTGTCTGGTCCAGGTGTTTCCCCTCCCGTCGCCGCGTGCCGTGATGGGGTCTAGACTTTCTCTGCCATCCGACCACATCTCTCGCACCAAGCCGTGGTTGTCTTGACATCAACAGCAGTGCAAAAGAACAGAGGAACTGACCCGGATGGCCGTCATCGATACATCCACCAGAACCGTTATCAGTTGCAGGCTTTCAGATTGTCGTTTCCAACCTCCACCCTAACGCGGCGTTGCGGACCCCTTTCACCATTTCGCACGTGTAAGTCATGCTCCGCGGAGATGCTTCGTCAGAGATAACGACAAGACAGCCGCAACCTTCAACAACAGATGATGGCCCAGGCGCCATCCGACTTATCTTCAACGTTCATGGCTATCTATCAGTTGGTATTTGAGATGAGAGCTGTTTACCAGATTTTGGGTTGCCAGAATAGCCTGGGCACTCGAGCTAGTAATCAAAGCTGTCTTCGCGACGGGAATGAGAATAATTTGTAGGCCTGGGCCTTCGACACTAGAAAGAAAGCCTTTGGGGCTTCCGATAAGGCCCTGAAAGAGATCTCTGGCTGCCCCTGGTCATGGATTGCAGAAGTCTGCCAGGGCCTTCTTGCAGTGTCCTGCCCTCATCCTCTGCCGCGGATGAGTGGTGCACTCCGGGGGGCCTACAGGGCTTCAGTCGACTTCGTTGCCTGCGTTTCTGGCATGTCTTAGCATGGGACCAAGAAACAGTGCCTTCCATTGTCACAACCGGAACAATAGGTTTGGGCGGCAGCGCCGACGCAAGAACGCATCATTCGATCGCGCAAACTCATCCAAAGAACATACGCACTATCAGCTGTCATTCTTACGGCCTGAAAATCATCGAGACAGGCCCGGAGACTTGGCGTGGGCGAGACGCGCAAAATGTCGCCTCAGCACGCACCTGAACCCGTACGATTACTATCGCGACCGAACAAGTGGATCGTATTTTGCATCTCCGGTTCTCCTGGAAGCTCGTATCTACGCCCAACGACAGGCTTCAGCGCCCAGTTTGGGTCTCCAAGATCATGAGATATCGAAATTTCAACAGCAGCACGATATCGAAGCTGATCGATAGCTTGAGCTCGTCTCGAATGATATTTACTTCATTCAATATGCTCACGAGATCGAGTGTATCGCGTGTTGCTGATTGAGGCAAATCATGAATTACACAGACACTGACACATTCGATAGCCGAGTATTATGTCTGAGTATTACAAGTCTTCGCTTGACATCACGACTAGTTCTGCGATTAACGGGCGTTGTCGCTGGTGTTACGGCGTCGGGGGCATTTACTGAGCATAACTCCCTACGGCGGACACAATCGATGACAATTCTCGTACTTGAGCACACAAGTGTTTTCGTACTCGGTCTCGAGGTTGACAACTATTCAAAAGCGACATGTTGCCGGGCACGACAAGATTTGCAGAACAAGATGGCGTAGAGGAAGATGGCGTAGAGCATGACTGCTGTGGCTTGAGTCTGCCTATTGCCTGGCACCAGGCTTGCCACATGCACAACTTTCAGAGCACGAAATACCACCCAAAGCCTGTGAGTGTTCATTGTTAGGTGAGCTCAGACTTCTGTGGAGCATTGGCCTTGCCCTGAGATGGCCGTTCCATTTGGGCTACAGACCATCCTAATAGTGTTTTGGTTCTACACATGACCCTGTCTCATCAACAGTGTTACTGGAATCACATCGTCAAAATGGCCTTACTACTACAGAACTCTAAGCGGTGCCTCCGTGACGAGCCAGACCATGACGCACACTCTTGTTAGTAGTTTCACCATGACGTCTCTGAGCATTCCGGGTCACGTCACAGCAAAAGTGTCGACCGCCTAGTTTCTCATTAAATGTAGAACCAACACAAGAAGGAGTATCAGCTGCTTTATTGGCCATCGTAACAGCAAGGAAAGCCAAGTGCGACCCATTACCAACACAGAATACAGAAGCTGCGAGTACACACCGGCTAGTGCTTGAGCACTGGTGCAATTTGATAAACATCTGACCATGCCCAGTATTTACGTGCTTAGAATGACGAAGACGTGATTTTATGTGGCTCCTCTAAGCAAACTCGGTATGAAACCTCAGCAGAGGTAACGCGGCGGTATTGTCGACCATCACAATTCGGTGGACTTTACCACAGGACTCTCCATTGACGGTATCATTCATTCAGCTTAGAAAAGTGTCCCCGACCGGATAATCCACCAACGTCACCTTTCTCACCTTCTGAATTCTT